GGAACTAGATATCTGTCACTCCACCACAGTGTTTGTCCTGGAGGAACTAGATATCTGTCACTCCACCACAGTGTTTGTCCTGGAGGAACTAGATATCTGTCACTTCACTACAGTGTTTGTCCTGGAGGAACTAGGTATCTGTCACTCCCACCACAGTGTTTGTCCTGGAGGAACTAGATATCTGTCACTCCACCACAGTGTTTGTCCTGGAGGAACTAGATATCTGTCACTCCACCACAGTGTTTGTCCTGGAGGAACTAGATATCTGTCACTTCACCACAGTGTTTGTCCTGGAGGAACTAGATATCTGTCACTCCACCACAGTGTTTGTCCTGGAGGAACTAGATATCTGTCACTCCACCACAGTGTTTGTCCTGGAGGAACTAGAAATCTAACACTCCACCACAGTGTTTGTCCTGGAGGAACTTGATATCTGTCACTCCACCACAGTGTTGTATTTGAGTAATTGATTTCAGTCACTCCACCACAATGTTTGTCCTGGAGGAACTAGATATCTGTCACTCCACCACAGTGTTGTATTTGAGTAATTGATTTCAGTCACTCCACCACAATGTTTGTCCTGGAGGAACTAGATATATGTCACTCCACCACAGTGTTTGTCCTGGAGGAACTAGATATCAGTCACTCCACCACAGTGTTTGTCCTGGAGGAACTAGATATCAGTCACTCCACCACAGTGTTTGTCCTGGAGGAACTAGATATCTGTCACTCCACCACAGTGTTTGTCCTGGAGGAACTAGATATCTGTCACTCCACCACAGTGTTTGTCCTGGAGGAACTAGATATCTGTCACTCCACCACAGTGTTTGTCCTGGAGGAACTAGATATCTGTCACTCCACCACAGTGTTTGTCCTGGAGGAACTAGATATCAGTCACTCCACCACAGTGTTTGTCCTGGAGGAACTAGATATCTGTCACTCCACCACAGTGTTTGTCCTGGAGGAACTAGATATCTGTCACTCCACCACAGTGTTTGTCCTGGAGGAACTAGATATCTGTCACTCCACCACAGTGTTTGTCCTGGAGGAACTAGATATCTGTCACTCCACCACAGTGTTGTATTTGAGTAATTGATTTCAGTCACTCCACCACAATGTTTGTCCTGGAGGAACTAGATATCTGTCACTCCACCACAGTGTTGTATTTGAGTAATTGATAATTCCACCACAGTGTGTATTTGAGATCCCTTCAGTCACTCCACCACAATGTTTGTCCTGGAGGAACTAGATATCTGTCACTCCACCACAGTGTTGTATTTGAGTAATTGATTTCAGTCACTCCACCAAAATGTTTGTCCTGGAGGAACTAGATATCAGTCACTCCACCACAGTGTTTGTCCTGGAGGAACTAGATATCTGTCACTCCACCACAGTGTTTGTCCTGGAGGAACTAGATATCTGTCACTCCACCACAGTGTTTGTCCTGGAGGAACTAGATATCTGTCACTCCACCACAGTGTTGTATTTGAGTAATTGATTTCAGTCACTCCACCACAATGTTTGTCCTGGAGGAACTAGATATCTGTCACTCCACCACAGTGTTGTATTTGAGTAATTTATTTCAGTCACTCCACCACAATGTTTGTCCTGGAGGAACTAGATATCAGTCACTCCACCACAATGTTTGTCCTGGAGGAACTAGATATCTGTCACTTCACTACAGTGTTTGTCCTGGAGGAACTAGATATCTGTCACTCTACCACAGTGTTTGTCCTGGAGGAACTAGAAATCTAACACTCCACCACAGTGTTTGTCCTGGAGGAACTAGATATCTGTCACTTCACTACAGTGTTTGTCCTGGAGGAACTAGATATCTGTCACTTCACTACAGTGTTTGTCCTTGAGGAACTAGGTATCTGTCACTCCCACCACAGTGTTTGTCCTGGAGGAACTAGATATCTGTCACTTCACTACAGTGTTTGTCCTGGAGGAACTAGATATCTGTCACTCCACCACAGTGTTTGTCCTGGAGGAACTAGATATCTGTCACTTCACTACAGTGTTTGTCCTGGAGGAACTAGATATTTGTCACTTCACTACAGTGTTTGTCCTGGAGGAACTAGATATCTGTCACTCTACCACAGTGTTTGTCCTGGAGGAACTAGAAATCTAACACTCCACCACAGTGTTTGTCCTGGAGGAACTTGATATCTGTCACTCCACCACAGTGTTGTATTTGAGTAATTGATTTCAGTCACTCCACCACAATGTTTGTCCTGGAGGAACTAGATATCTGTCACTCCACCACAGTGTTGTATTTGAGTAATTGATTTCAGTCACTCCACCACAATGTTTGTCCTGGAGGAACTAGATATCTGTCACTCCACCACAATGTTTGTCCTGGAGGAACTAGATATCAGTCACTCCACCACAATGTTTGTCCTGGAGGAACTAGATATCAGTCACTCCACCACAGTGTTTGTCCTGGAGGAACTAGATATCTGTCACTCCACCACAGTGTTTGTCCTGGAGGAACTAGATATCTGTCACTCCACCACAGTGTTTGTCCTGGAGGAACTAGATATCTGTCACTCCACCACAGTGTTTGTCCTGGAGGAACTAGATATCTGTCACTCCACCACAGTGTTTGTCCTGGAGGAACTAGATATCTGTCACTCCACCACAGTGTTGTATTTGAGTAATTGATTTCAGTCACTCCACCAAAATGTTTGTCCTGGAGGAACTAGATATCAGTCACTCCACCACAGTGTTTGTCCTGGAGGAACTAGATATCTGTCACTCCACCACAGTGTTTGTCCTGGAGGAACTAGATATCTGTCACTCCACAACAGTGTTTGTCCTGGAGGAACTAGATATCTGTCACTCCACCACAGTGTTGTATTTGAGTAATTGATTTCAGTCACTCCACCACAATGTTTGTCCTGGAGGAACTAGATATCTGTCACTCCACCACAGTGTTGTATTTGAGTAATTGATTTCAGTCACTCCACCACAATGTTTGTCCTGGAGGAACTAGATATCTGTCACTCCACCACAGTGTTGTATTTGAGTAATTGATTTCAGTCACTCCACCAAAATGTTTGTCCTGGAGGAACTAGATATTAGTCACTCCACCACAGTGTTTGTCCTGGAGGAACTAGATATCAGTCACTCCACCACAGTGTTTGTCCTGGAGGAACTAGATATCTGTCTGGTTTATCCTCCCAGGAATCGACCACTTGTCTTCTTTTTTCATTTGATATTATTTTATTTTCAAAAAAAAAAAAAATGATTTGACTTATGATCATCAATTATTATTTGGGTCAATTATATGAGTGTGTTCTATAACATCAAGCAATTCACATATTATTTTCAAAATATTGCCGGGACTGAAATCCTCAGATTGATAGAAAATATACTGACAATGTCGTAACGAAATAGCATCGCCAGCGATACATAACCTCGATAAAGGAACAAACATGTACCATATATTCTCATGGGATCGTTTTACTGGCCTTGACAAAGACAGGTCGTTTTTTTCTTATCGTAGAAATACTTTGAAGTGTTAAAGGACAAATCACATTATAGCGCTTGTGGTAAAAATCTCCAATTCTCTAAATTAAGAAAGTGTATCTTGCATTATTCTTGGAAACAGGATTTTTTCCTTTTTAGTAGCTTATGAAAATAACTAAAATGTCAGAAGATTTTCCAGTTTCCATATGGCATGCTATCGGGATATTTCAAAAACATGGTGATGCCATTGAGTGCAGAGATATAATACAATAATCTGTAGACTGCCTACGGGTTCTGGGATAAAGGAGTGACCATTTATATTGAGGACTGGAGAAAATATTACTTCACGTGGCGCCGCCTGAGGCAATGTCGTCATTTCTGATGTCAGAAGCTATTGTACTATTACTTTATCTGATCACGTCTGGCCCATGCCCTGAGTTATCTTAATTACACAGAACTACCAATATATAGTTTCTCTCTCTCTCTCTCTCTCTCTCTCTCTCTCTCTCTCTCTCTCTCTCTCTCTCTCTCTCTCTCTCTCTCTCTCTCTCTCTCTCTCTCTCTCTCTCTCTCTCTCTCTCTCTCTCTCTCTCTCTCTCTCTCTCTCTCTCTCTCTCTCTCTCTCTCTCTCTCTCTCTCTCTCTCTCTCTCTCTCTCTCTCTCTCTCTCTCTCTCTCTCTCTCTCTCTCTCTCAGAAAGGAAATCTACCATTCAGAATGCTATGGAAGGAATGCAAATCGGCTAGGTAGCGTTTATAATAACCCATCCAGCGCCTTATTGTTTGTTTGGACTTCTGAATACTGTATTCAGTGTGGGTGTATATGTCCAGAGGAACGATCGTGATGCCGCGAGACATATATTACCAATATCATCATGTTGTTGAACATGTGCATCGTAAGAGGGTCGTTACTTAGACATAAAATATTACCGAAGTGACGTGTCTAGAGAGGCCTCGACAACCACCAGGTGCTCGCCTACAAACACCAACAATAGTAGTTTTACGGACACCTGTATTTCTAACGAGGTGATTCGGATTCACACCTATATTTGTTTTACAATTAAACAAAGATGTGATATATAAGATACACACTACAAGTCTGATGGGGTTTAACAGTACAAACTGCGGGTGTATTGTCCTAGTATCAAGGGTGCTTAAAAATGACGAGTTCATCGGTATTCATTAATTAGGGTCAATGTTTCGTCGCACAGGTCAATAGACATCGAAAGATGTTTGGTTCTAAAACTTTAACACTTTGTTTGTGACTTTTAACACAATGTTTATGACGTTTAACACATTCTGTATGACGTTTAACACATTGTTTGTGACGTTTTGCCTGTCACCTTATGCTTGCCCCGTGATTAATTACTGTAAGTTGCCTATAACTATGTTAAGTGTTATTGGGTTTTTTTTCTTGTCAACAAAGAAACACAAAAAAGTTAAATCATTAATCATGTCTCCTATCATGTAAAATAAATCAGAAATGTGTTAACTTAAAAAAATTTCTATAAAAACGTCTGTATTTTAGATATGAACACGTGACAGACCTGAAGAAAATTAATCCCAAGTTGAAGGTTTTACTTTCGGTGGGAGGATGGAATGCCGGTGGAAAACCTTTCTCTGATTTGGCAGCAACCGCAGCGGGAAGAAAGGAATTTGCGACAACTTCTGTTACTTTTCTACGAAAAAGACATTTTGATGGACTCGATATCGACTGGGAATTCCCTGGTAGTAATGGCGGTGCTCCAAGTGATAAAGAAAACCTCTCTCTTCTTCTCAAGGTATGTATTGTACCTGAGCAGTACAAATGTTGGAGTGAAACCTGTCGACAGCGTGGTGTAGAACCAAAATTATTGATGATAATAATAATGATAAAATACTCATTTGTTTTTTATTATATGGTATAGGAAGTCAGCACTGTGTTTGAAAAGGAGGAGAGGGCAGCAGTACGAGATAGACTTTTGCTGTCTATTGCAGTTCCGGCTAGCCAGGACAAGATCGACCAAGGTTACAAAGTGCCTGATGTGTCACTGTAAGTAAGGTCTACATACTTATGTTAATATTCCTACCAGCTGTAATGCTCTATATCATGTAGGTATTGGGAAGACTGAAATTTATCCGGAGTATACTTCGTTTGGCATCTGTCGCAGTATTAACTAAAAACCGGTCACCAGGCACGATATGAATTTCAAATTAAAATGTAGTTCAGGGCCACAGGCTCTCGCCCCCAGCCCCCCAACCCCCCCCCCCAACCCCCCAACCCCTTAAGAGAAAGGTTTGTATAACAAGAAAACGGAGTATTGCTAAAGCAGCACACACCGGCCCCGACAAACTAATGATGATTAAACTGTAATGATATATACCGATGTATGGAGGGTTAAAAGTGCTTATAAAGCATAACTATACATTGTCATCACCAATTTATGGAGGGTTAAAAGTGCTTATAAAGCATATCTATACATTTTCATCACCAATTTATGGAGGGTTAAAAGTGCTTATAAAGCATAGCTATACATTTTCATCACCAATGTATGGAGGGTTAAAAGTGCTTATAAAGCATAATTATACATTTTCATCACCAATGTATGGAGGGTTAAAAGTGCTTATAAAGCATAACTATACATTGTCATCACCAATTTATGGAGGGTTAAAAGTGCTTATAAAGCATATCTATACATTTTCATCACCAATTTATGGAGGGTTAAAAGTGCTTATAAAGCATATCTATACATTTTCATCACCAATGTATGGAGGGTTAAAAGTGCTTATAAAGCATAATTATACATTTTCATCACCAATGTATGGAGGGTTAAAAGAGCCATAATTCTTACATAATGTTTTCATTCTTATTTTATTCTATTTTTCTAACTATTTTTTTATTATTTATGTAATCATCGCTAATGTTAAAAAATTGTTTTCTTTTACCAATATGATATTAGATGACAATTTTAACTCTTGATTTTTACTTTTTAGAATTTCCATTTCTGTATTTTAACTTAAAAATTCAGGTTTAACATGTTATAAACTCTTTTGTTGTTTATATTGATTACCTTCCTGTTGTATTTTGTATTTTTGAACTTGAAATTTAGCGTCAGTATTTTGCAGTTTTAATCAACTTTTCATATTTGTCATTGATTTTTCCCGTGATAATAATGATAGTTGCGGTACAATTTTTGCTTAAGATTCTTTCATCATTTGTTATTTTTTCATTAAAAACGGGACTGAGCAAGTAATACAAATGTTATTCGAAATGTGAAAACTAAGATTGAAAACACAAAATAGAAAAAGAAAAAAATCAAACAAAATGAAATACAATACTATAAGATAAAATAAAAGGACAAGTTAGAATAATGACCCGAATATTCAACTTAAATTTGTGACGCCAGAGGGCGTTCAAAAATATTGGTACCGGAAGTAATGGACGACTCCCTATACGGCCCCTATACGGCAACATTCACGCACACAGATATCCAGAGACGCCTACAGGATTTGTCTTGTGTTAAATACGTCTCTAATATATCTTATTTCATGCACTTTTTTATTCACTACCATGCCCGGTTTTAACACTGATTATCTGGATTCAGACACATTTGTCTAATCTTTAGATTCAAATCTTTCAAACGATTTAAGAAAATAAACATTTTCACGACGCCGAACAAGTTTTAGATATGAGCCTGGCCATCTTGTCATGCGAATTTGCTACTTTCGTTTTTCTGCAAATGATTATTATTTCACTTTAAACAGGACCTGGATCATATCCGTTTCCGAGGGAGAGTAGTAATGTTATAATTTCGAAACTTTTCATTATCCTGATTAATGTACATGGCCATGCATGCCAAGAAATTGTTTTAACAGATTTTAGTTGATAAATAAGAGAGTCCCGACATTTACTGAAAACCACTATACAGAACAGTTCTAAACAAGCGCTGTGTGCGAAGATGCATCATACGATGTTTAAATTGTAAGGTCTGGTCCTTCGTCAAAACATCAACGATAAAACTTTTCCTAACCTAAGTTTCAGCATGGTACCATTTTCAGTCAGTATAGAAGGTATTATCCGTCTACGGTGTACAAACATAGATTAATATTCAAATACTAACTTATTAGAGGACCTCCTAAGGTCAACATTTGGTCATCCACCTGCACTCGTGACTGAAAATCAAGTAATATACATGTAATACCGAGACTATAGTGATGGTGAAATAAAATGATAATTTCATCACAGTTCAAATTCAAAAGAGGTATTTCCATTTATTTATCTTGTTTAATTTTAAATTCAGTTAAACATTTTATTTGCGTCAAATATATACCATGGGATTGAGCACAAGTTATCAAACTTTCTCTGAATCATAGTTCCAAATGGAAAGCAATACAACATTGAAAGGTACATGTGTCATTTATGTACACTGATTAAATGCTTCCTGTTTTTAGACATAAGCTAATAAAAAGTTACGTCTGAATTTTTCTGTGATTGATAATGATAGGAATATTACTTACAATGTATTTATTACTGGAATATAACACCGAGCTGTATCACAGAAGTCAGTTCCAAGCTCCGAAAGGACTGCACGACAACATACATCTGACTCTGACAACACCCCATGTTTTTTAGACGTTCATGCCTATCTACAGGAACTCGACACATTCAGAACAGATAATCAATTGATTTTCAAAATGAATGTGTTTGATTTTAACGAAATATTCTATTGATTTTTATCCGAGTTTCGAACCACTTGTCAATAGTATCATTTTTGGAACGCCGATGTGTAAACCGTTCGCCCATTCCGCGACCATCACAACGGATGTGAATTATTATGACTGATTCCTGTAGATATCGCCACACAAATTAGTCGTAAATCAACACGCCCAAATTGTTAAACAAATATTATTGGTACAAATACAGACTTTCAATACTTATTTTTCCAATTTTAATCAATACAATGCCTTAAATTGAATGATTACTAGTACTATATTATTATAGTGTCAACTTCCGAGTCGGTGTGGTTGTGAGGGAGCGCTCCGTAATTTTCAAAGGCATGTTTAGAATGTATTAGCCCCAGTTGATAGATTGGTTTTTAAACATGCAGCGCGGGTTTTTGGACACACTTCTATTGATAGATTGGGAGGCTATGTGGTAGATTGGGAGGCTATGCACGAACGGACGGACGCCCGACGGAGAGGAATAGTCCCTTCCCCACTTTCACTGGTAGGACCTAATAAGCGAACGTAGGCGTTCCATCAGCTAGGAATGAGATAAGGTTATATTAAAAAAGAGCTTTTTATATACAAAACTATTAATACACAATGCAAGGAATTACCTACTAAATGTCGTGTACACTGCCAACTTATTTCAGGTATTGTGATATGATCAATGTGATGACATACAACTATCACGGAATGTGGGACAAATCTACCGGCCATCACAGCGCCCTGTTCAAACGAAAAGTCGACACCACTGAGTACCAGTCCAAACTCAATGTTGTAAGTATTTCAGAACATTTTTTTTTCATGCTGGTAATGTCAAAAGAATGAAAGAAGTAGAAGATTAGTGTGCTACGTTTCGATGACTACACTGTCACCTTCATCAGTCAGATGACCAGTATGAATCGTACTAGCACTGGCGTACGTAGTGTCTTTTCGACTGTACTATACTCCTATGTACAATGATTCCGACGAGACATAAGCTGTTTCCGACCACCCTAACACCATGTTCGGTAAGCTTTCAGTTTGCCCTTATTGTATCTATTAGTACTGTGGGTTCCCTCTATCCAAACGACTAATATTTGAGCTACAAAAATAGGTGCAAAACTCCCATGGGGTTTCAGAACGTTGGTCTCCCTGTGGAAACCTGATTTACTACTAACTTTCTGTCTGTAATACAATAGTCATGCTTTTACTGTTTATGCAGGCATGGACGATGAACTATTGGATACGCATGGGTGCTCAAGCCAACAAACTCATCCTCGGGTTTCCACAGTTCGGTCGAGGATTTACACTGACTGATTCCAACAAGAAAGCAGTCGGGGATGGTGTTAGTGGCGGGAGTGTCAGTGGCACGTTTACAAAAGAAGCGGGCTTCCTGGCCTACTACGAGGTACACTTCTATACACACAGCTTATCAAGTTGAGCATGATCCAAAAACAAGTGTCTTGATTACCTACAAGATTTACCCCGAAAGATTAACTATTAAAAATCGACTGAAGGATGTTGCCATGGATCGAATCATGTTGCCATGTATACAGAAACGAGATATTTATATAATTAAAACAAAAGTTGTAACATAACGGGTTGAAAGCAAAGTGCGGCTTTGAGTACAACCAGATGATATAATTTAGGCGAAAACCCTGATATAGCCCTTGTTTAAAAAATCTTTATTTAATTTGAATTGACACTGAATAACTTAACACTGCATTTCCCTTCACTATAACACGATGTACATTGTCGATATTTCATAAAAAAATAATACATGAATCAAATCTATTTTCATTCAATCTTCAATCTGTGTGTTAACCGTACTTGAATTTGTTAATTTATAACAATAGAGGCATATTCTGTTGTAGATTTGCAAGATGTTGAAATCTGGAGCGGCAGTAACTTGGGATGATGTACAGAAAGTTCCACATCTGGTGCTTGGTGATCAGTGGATTGGTTTCGACAACGAGCGCAGTATCAGAGAAAAGGTAAATGATTTTACGCCATAGCGTGCCCTGTGTGAGAAATCAACATCACAATGCCGAGAATTTGCTCAGATTTAACATTCCTGTATTCTAATCACATGTTATTTTACTTATTTTTATTGGAAACTTTTACTTGATAGGTGAAATGGTTCAAGAACTATAAGTTTGGCGGAATTATGGTATGGGCGCTTCCACTCGATGATTTCAGGGGAGACCAGTGCAGCGAAGGGAGAACATACCCTATCCTTCGCAATATAATCGACGAGCTCAACCGACCTGACACTGCTCCGGGCATAGCAAACCGTGACAGCTCGGACCCTATACAATCTGATGGCCTCACACCAACTTCATCAAACAAAATCATCTCGGACACCATACCGTTTGATAGCTTCCCTGTGGGTTCGTCATATCGAGTCAACGAAACTATGGTCAATATGGATACAACACAAGAGGGACCACTCTTGCAAACGTCATCGAGCAACGCGAAAATTCTTCTGGAAAACGCTAAAGACCAGAGTGGCCATGTGAGTAGTGCTAAGGACGGACGAAATAAACCAGTATCTGAAACGGGTAAAAGTGAAACGAAAAAGAAAAAAAACACAGATATCTATGATACAAAAAAGGAAAAATTAAGTGATGTTATAATAAATCCAGAGAAAGCAGTGATTACAAAGGTAAAATCTAGCAAAGAAGAAAGAAAACAGCTATTGAAATCAATTCCAGCGCAAGAACAGCCGTTGATCGAAGCAAGTTCAAATAAAATTGAAAATCGGTCACCAGACCTGAAATCAGACGGAAAGGCACGAAGTGGCCTGTCAATACTAGAAACAAGTGGTCAAGTGAAAAATGGTGTTAGAAAAACAGCTACGGATGGTGCACAAACTCCTGTTGTGACAGGTACTGTCCTAAGCGATTCCTTAAAGCACAAAATTCAAAGTCACGACAACATTATTGCAAAAGCAAACGTCCTAGATGAGCTAAGTGCATTTGATAATGGCACGGAGAAATCTACAGAAAAGCAAACGAAGACAGTTATCACGAATTCGGGTGAAACAGTCCCGCTTTTAAAAACAGTCACACAAGCCAATTCCACTCCTTCTAAGGACGATAACAGGAAGATTGTTGGTAAACATAATGAGAAAAGTGTAACAAACAAGAAGAAAAAAACTGAAAACAAATCTGAAACAAAAGTGCAAGCAGGAACTGTTCCGGGTACACATTTAAGCTCTGCCATAATTACAAAAGGAAAAACCACCAAGAAAATAGGAACTTCTTCATTCACAGGTGGGCCTCCCGTATACAGTGCCCCTGATTTGAGCGATCTACAGTTAGCTGCCAGCCATTCTGCGGCTAAACAACGGACAGACAAACAAAGAACCCTTGATCATCTTAAAGATAAAAATCCAATCCTGCCTATTATTCAATCAGATACATCTGCAGGGAAAGTCGAAAACAATGCTGAACCTGAAAGCCCATCTGTACCGCCTACAGCAAGTACAACAGTTGAAACCCCATACAAGAAAACAAAACCGGGAAAAAACACAGCAGTAAAAATGTCAAAATCAACAAAACAATCAACAGACAAGACAGACACCGCAACTGACAGTAAAACTCAGTCGGAAACGGGAAAGGAAAACGGGAAAAGCGAAATATCTAAATTTACCTCCAGAAAATTACTTCAAATGACTGACACGAGTTTTCCAGGAATGCCTGAGGAGAGGAATGAAGGTGGACTTGGAGGGATGATAAATTCCTTATTTGGAATGATGTCAGGCTTCACACGAGGACAAAGACCACAGGAACGAAGGAGTGATGTTTTCCCGATAAGGTCTTCAGTAACTGATGATCCATTTTCGTTCAATACCGGACCGAACGATATCCGTGGCGATAACCGCCTGGCTCGACAACGATTTCGAAATGGGAGGCAAGGACGCACATCCACTTCCCGAGATCGTCCATCGGTTGCAATCAACAATAGGGAGAGTTCTGTTAATACAATAGATCGTACAATGAATACTAGGGATCGTTCCTTATCTAGACGGGGAAGAGAAAGATCTATAGCTGTCGATCGTGCATCCAATGTTCCAAGTAGATCAAATCAGTTCCCAATCGAAACTCTTACTGACGTCAGTCCTCTTCCCACAACTGCAAACCCATTTGATTCCATAGACCCACGAGATCAGAGACTCCGTGGAGGAAGATCCTCACTTTCCAGGGCTTCACGAACATTGGGCATTCAGGAACGAATTAGGGGAACACCTCTAGAGGACACGCGAACACCTCGTGAAAGGGCACTTGATGCATTAATTCTATCTGAACAGTTACCAGACCCCGGTCCACTTATTTCACAAAACACAATACGTCCCATGGGAAGAGATCAGTTAAGAAATGAAGCGGAACTTCTGCTTACACGAGATCAGTTGGGCATTAATGACCCGATTCAAAGAGAAATACTTCAAGCACAAATCAGGGATCCGGCGTTGATACGCTCCCGCGAACCTGGATTAGTGGAAACATTGCGACGGCGCATGTCAGATACAGGACGTTCCCGCGGGAATCCAGGTGTAGCGACTAACATTCAGACCACCGAAAGAGGACGTGGACGTTCCCAGTCTGATACAAGACAAGCTAACGGCGGAAGGTTTCCAAATTCAGAAGCAAGTATGTTGTCAAGAAATTCAAATTCACGACGAAATATTGCCGTAGATTCTTTCAATAATAGGAATCGCATTATGGACAATGCAAGAAGTGTTCAAAGACGCGTTTCTCGTCCAAGGACAGTTATTGGACTTCAAGGATCTGGAACAGACCGACAAAATTCTGCTGACGGAACACAAAGAACATCTTTAGGTACTCAAAGTTCAGGGGTATCAACTGTTTTAGGCAATGATCGCCAACGCATTGCGACTGGCACCCAGGGACCTGGAAGGGACCGTGGACGTAATTCTTTAGGACGTCAAAATGTTGCATCAACCAGAAGAAGAACTACAATAGGTATCAATGATGCAGGAAATGAGCGTCAGCGAGCATCAATTGGAATTACCAATGCAGGTACTGACCGCCAGAGAACGAATGTAGCAGTGCAAAGTTCTGATCGTCAGAGAACAAGTGTAGCAGTGCAAAGTTCTGATCGTCAAAGAATAGCAGCAGCTGGTGTACCTGGAACAAGAAATAATCGCCAGAGAACACCTATCTCAGTTGAAAGCACAGGAACTGGAACCGATCGTCGTCAAAGTGTAGGAACAAGTCAACGTGCAATGAGAGGAGGTCAGGGTTTGGGAACCGACCGTCAACGATCAGCAGTTGGCGTTCAAACCTCTGACCGTCAAAGGGCAGTGGCAAATGGCCAAAGAGCCGGAAATGACCGTCAAAGACCATCAATAGGAATAGCTCCTCTAACAGGTCAAAACGGAAGAGTCAGTCGTCAACGGTCAGGAATCGGAGTTCAGAGATCATCGATGGACAGGCAAAGAGCAGCGATTGGAGTCGCAAATGATCGTCAGAGATCAGTAATAGGTGTTCAACGTTTAGGTAACGAGAGACCACGAGCACCAGTGGGTGTTCAAGGTTCAGAAACGGATCGCAAAAGATCAACAATAGGTGTTCAAAATGGTGAACGACAAAGAACCGCGATTGAAGTTCAACGCACTGGAAATGATCGTCAACGATCATCAGTAGCAGTTCAAGGTTCAACAAGCGACCGTCAAATAACAGCTTTTGGCGTTCAAAATATTGATCGCCAACGAACATCAATTGGTGTCCAACGTTCAGGTAATGGACGTCAACGAACATCTGTAGGAGTTCAAAGTTCGCTATCAGATCGTCAAAAACCTTCAATAGGCATCAAAAGTATTGATAGACAAAGAACAGCGATCGGCGTTCAGCGTTCAGGAAATGATCGCCAAAGGACATCAGTTGGTGTTCAAAGTGACAAAAGAACAGCTGCCGGAGTTCAACAATCTGATCGCCAACGACCATCAATTGGGGTTCAACGTCAAAGAACAATTGAAAGTAAAGATCATCAACGAACGGTGGTCGGTATTCAACGTTCTGGAAACGACCGTCAACAAACAACTATAACAGGTCAAAGACCTGACATTTCACTCCAACAAACAGCGGTTGGCGTTCAGGCACCTGGGAACAATAGACAGCAGTCAGTGGTTAATGAAGGAAGAACCACCACCAACAGTCGACGAATTGTAGCTACAAATTCAGATAGTGGGAGAATAACCGACCTCCAGCTACCTTCTATCATACAACAAAATGATGAAATGAGGAAACGAGCTCAAAACACAATATTAAATAGCAAAAGCAGTAGCCTAGCCGCAATATTAGGGAGTACAAGTCCAGAGTCTAATCAAATTGTTGCTGTTTCTGAAAGTAATTGGAAAACAGGTCCTGAAAAATCTGCTATCTCAGGCAATGGGGCCAAACCAGTTGCATTAATGAGCAACTCACAAAAACGTAATGCAATTGAAAACTCAATAGAAGAACTGCTGGCTCAGATAAGTGCACAACAACCTAATATAGCAATAGACAATGTAGGACCAACCGTTTCATTAACTCCAACAGAACCACCTGTCGATCCTTCAATACATCTTGTTACCTTAAACAATATTGAAAATTCTTTCCTTAATAGTTTGGGGCCTCCAATACAAATCTTGAATGAAACAAAAGGACAGCCATCCGTGATACCTATTGCAAACAATGACAATTTCATCGGTGGAACGAACACCATAGATCTAATAAACAGTCTAGCAGCAAACAGGATGTCAATGCCAGACAGTCCAATGACAAATAGCTTGACGGCTGAAAACATTCTGGCAGCAGTAGCGGCATCGCAACCTAGTCCCACCATAGATGTGGTAAATAAACCAATAGTCTTAGAAATACAACCTCAGATCCTCCCTACCAAACCGCCATTGAACAATGATATTACCGACGTCTTGGTGCAACTGCTGCGTGAAAATCTCTTGAACCAAAAGACGCCGTCACCAACGACTCCTGCTCCGCCCCCACCAACCACGCCTGCTGCACTTATACAAACAACATCTAAACCTTTTAAGCAAGTTGCTATACAGACGCCTAATCAAGTATTGGTATCAACCGGAGGGCAGCCAAAAGATTTCCCACCGCTGCCACCACCTCCACGTAGACAGACGTCTATTATTGCTACTAATGAAACAGTTGTAGCCAATATCAGACCACAACTAGGGCTAACAAAAGCAGATGTTCTTTGGAAATGGGAAGCATAGATATGTTAATTGTTTCCATGTGTATCACATTATCTACATATCATATAATCATTCTAATCAATCATTCAAATAACTTACGAGATTTTTAACTGACTGTTATTCATGCGATCTACGCATCTATATACTGGTAACATTTTCGGTTGAACAATATTTTTTAGACAATTGTCCTTTCTCGTGTTACTTCATTGTTGTTAAATTATGTATTTTCAATGCATTGTAGTCTTTCAAGATCACACTGTTTTCCTGCATTGAAAACTAAACATGATATTTATACTATTTATTTAAACAGAAATATGGTAACAATGCTCACACTACACCTACTTTGTTTTACACAGAAATAGGGATGGTCTTTATGACCAATGTTTTATTTGGTGATCTATATGTACGACACTTTTCATTCATTTCATCAAACTCCCAGAGATGTTCTTATGCACTTCAGATGCCGGATGAAGCTGTATAAGTGGTATTATTTCTATACCGTATTTACAATAATGCTTTAATGTTATGTATGTTCCTGATTTCATTGAAGTTTTACACAATTAATTGAAACAATTATGCCGGAAGGTTCTCTTTAAAACACACGAAATGTTTTATAGTGAAATACATGTACCTGGTTGGTTACTTTGTTACTTAATAATCAATATATTTTCAATAACTGTATCTGAAATAAACCAATGACTGGAACCAATCAATATGACTGGGTTCCTTTTTACCTTTCCGTTGTCTCGTGGACGTACTAGACATGCATTGAAAATCTAGCTCAAATTGATATAAATGGACATACATTGAATTCTAACCAAGATGTATCTTGTAAAGATACATTTACAGTTTTCAACCAACACTCTATACTCAATCACTCTGGCATGAAACTGGGTTTTCCTAAACTACAATTTAGCATTTTCATTCTACACAACCCCAACAATAAACTTCGAATTCTCATTTTTCTAATCTCTAGAAAAATTTGGTGAGATTTGTTTTAATTACAAAGTTGAAAAAAAGAGTCCAAACATCAGGCCAAATGTATTTGTAAAGTTTCTTCTAACCATTGTACACGTGCATTTTGAAGGCATGCTGTTTAAATGATATCAACTTTTCACTTGAAGTAGTATTTACTATTGCTTTTACTGATTTTCATGTATTCCTCAAAACTAAGAAATGTATCCACGTATGCCGTGGACCTTCGTAGATTGTAATATTTTATGTGTCCAGAGATCTCCCTTAGTTTTCAACCAATACTTTATACTCAATCACTCTGGCATGAAACTGGGTTTGCCTGAACTACAATTTGATTCCACTATGTTTCGTTTGTGAGAGTTTTTCATAATCTTAATCTTCTTCTTAGATCTCTCAGTTTTCAACCAATCTTGTTCAAACTTGGTTAGATTTATAATGATAACATAAAATTATGTTTTTTTCAGAATGGAAGTATGATTCAAAGTTTATTCCATCTGGGCTAATCTTGATGCTTCAGATGAAATTTAAATGGAATCTATTCAAGCATTATGGAGGAGTAATGCTTTGAAGCATATATCCTGTATTTGGGACCTTGCCCCCAGGTCCTTAAAGATCAGATTAAATTTCTGAATTCAAGAAATGATTTGCCACCCCAAATGATGTTTCAGATCAAATTTGGATGAAATCTGCCCAGACATTAAGGAAGAGTAGTGTTATAAAGGAAGTTTATGGATGACTGACGATGATCGATGGCAAACGATCTTGACCCTTTGGGTGAAGCATACATAAAGTTAATAAAATATATTAAACACACAACAATGGAGTTTCTTGAATCATAAAAATGTAGTTTAATACAACCATCATTAAATAATTTTTAGTTCACATGTAATTATATATGTGATACATCAATTTATGTCCAGTGCTTTATACAAATGTATAATAAAGCTGTGGTTCATACGGAATGGTTCCATAATTTTAAAGGATTCTCTTTTTGTCATTTTGAGAATTGTACATGTAGATTTCAATAATTCCTAAGTAACGGTGACAAGGTGTATTATCTGAGCATAGTGGGAATAATTTTTCTAAAACCTTTAAAGAGCCAAAACTGACAAAAGGGGCAAGAATGAACTAAAGTTATAATGGTCCTATAAAAAAATCATTGCATGGCCACATACTGAAAAAAAAACATTTTCTGAATGCCTGAAAAATATAACCAAGGACATATGTGTTTGGACAGGCAGATAAACCAGGAAAAAACATAAAATTCACTGGTGAGTGACAAGTAAACAGTAAAAACAAATATCAACATCAATATATTTCAGTTCAAATGTTTATCAAAATTGTCATAGCTTCTTGAATATTGAAGACACATAACATTGATATAATAAAATTATGATAATAATATACATTGTAACATGATTCAATTTTTGTAAAAATGAGGGATGTTTACAACCACCATTGTTTGATCTTTCTTTGTTCTTTAAAAGAGGCCAAGGGAAATCTACATATGGAATTGGGAAAGATCCATCTTCAAGTGATAACAAACATTCATTGCTGAAATCCGAATGGATGTCTGTCAGCCAAAGGGAACCTACATGTGAAATTTAAGAAAGCTCTTCCCATAACTTCTCAAGAAATAGCAATAATAAACTTTAGAAGGAAAAATCCAAGATGGCCGTCTGTCAGTCATTTTTTTCCTGATCACACCCAAAGTCAATCAGGCACAACTAGGGACCAATGGAAACCTACATATGAAATTTGATCCATCCAATACTTCTCAAGAAATAGTGATAACAAAAATTGTTTTGGACCCTTGACCATGGACCACGGACGGAGGGTGATTTGAATAAAATGTATTAAAAGTTATAAAAACAATAAGATTGTAGTTGCAAAATATATTGTGAGGATAAACGTACACAATTCTTAGCTGTAATGTGCTGCACTATTTGTGCAATTGAGGGCAAATATGAATATTAATGCATACCAATTAAAGCAGAATATTCAGGCTGATATATCGAAATGATGTGTTGAAAAAAGATATAAACAATCACTGCCAAATCTAAATTAATTCTGTTTATAAGAAATGTTCAGAAAGAATAATACCAAAGAGGCAACCGTCATCCATATATCATATGGATAAATGTGTATGAAATGTGTATCTAATATTCATCAATACAAATGTCAGTTGAACTATCTGTGGTACGCTAAAACTTCAACCTCTCCCTCCATCTCCCAGTTATTGAAGTCAACAGTGAGTCTTGAGCAAAATATAACATCCTAAATATATTTTTAAATTTCTGAAAATGGGTCGTCAGTTCATCATGTTTATGCATGTCGTTCAACTTCATGTTTTGCAAATCTTTTGTCATGACTTAATTGTCTTGCATTCAAATATCTCTTCAGTGAAAGTTTTGTGTTTCTCTGATCAGAAAATGTGCCAGATCCAAATGGAAAGTGATATGGAAATGACTCAAATTCATGCTGAAGAACAGGTACTGGTTTGTATTTTTTCCATGAGCTAGAGATAAGATGAGGTCTTCATACATGTCCGAGCATGAATTGTCGCAAACAATCAAGTCTGCTAAAAAGGAAGCCAGGCAGGATGAAGGATCTTAAGAAGAGAGTTATGCTCCAGACAAGTTTTGTTTTTACAAAGGGCAATAACTCTATTATAAAAGGGCCATGGCCCTTAATTTTTGTACCTGACACACCGTCTTTAAGTCATGAACATGTATACCAAATATCATCATCCTATCTCAATTATGAAGAGATTTATGCTCCCGACAAGTTTATTTTACAAAGGACAATATCTCTGTTATCTTCTGGAGAAGGGGAGACATAAAAATCCATTAAACTGACAATCAATGGTTAAGGAGAATTTGTTAAACAATTCACTAACCAAATGTTTACATTATTGTCTCTATATTTTGTTTCTGTAAATAAAAATGGTAACATCATCAGGTATACACTTAATATATGAAGGTCAATCTATTCATTGTGTTACAATCTTAGTGGAGGTCCAAATGTATTGTAAGCTTTAATCAATGTCTATCACTGACCAATGTTACAATTCAAAGGAAGACAGTCGACGATCACCTGTCATTCATGTTGCAGCATTACTCTGTGGCAGCTCATAGCGAACATATGGACTGGATGGTAGTGTCTTAAACATATTCACCCAGCTTGGCCCTGTCTCTCGCTCTGTTTTTACATAATCAAAATTCAAGTGACCATTTGTTCTGGATACCTGACCATTCATAAAGCTACCATTTGTATGCCTTATGGGTTTTGGTTGACGTAAATTCATACTTCGTCTGAGGCAGAAGCATACTGTGAAAGTAGCAAGCACAAGGAAGAACACAGCAGGACCGGCAGATGCTGCTATCGCTATGGCGATCTTCTCACTCCTGGTGTACACTTCAAAAATAAACGAGAGGCAAACAGGCATTAATGGTAATCTTACTATAAAGACCTATATATAAAAGAGTACAAAACAAATTGTTCAACTGTTCTACAGCTTGCAAAGAAGACATTGTTGGTTCATAAAAACATTTTCTGCAAGCTTAGGTCAATTATTTGAACAAATCAGCAGCCCTTCATCTACCTATATTAGAGAACCCATATCAACAGCCTGGACCTTTTCGTTATTGAGAAGAAGTCCTTTAGCACATCTGAACCCTGTGACATTCAAAATGAGAAAATGTCAACCACATGAACAAGAGTGGTAACTCTTCATCCTAGTCACATGTTCAATATCAGCACTTTAAGCCTTAAGGTTATTGAGAATGTCGTTTCAAAATTTAGACATATTTGACACCAGTGACCTTGCAAAATGATCCAGGTCATAAATATAACCAAACTTGGTAACCCTTCATCCCAGCATGCTACAGGCCAATTATCAGCACTCTTGAACTTAAGAGAAGTCATTAAAATTTCTTTTGCACATTTGTCCCCTATGACCTTGAAAATGGGTCAAGGTCATTCTATTTTCAAACTTGGTAGTACATTTTACCATTATGCTATGGGCTGAACATCAGCACCTTGGG